TATTTCTTTCTTTTCTATTTGTTTATTTAAAGAGGAGTAAATTAGCCATTTTGCTATGCTTGAATAGAGAAAATAGACTGTATGGACATTTTGTGTAAAGAAATGTTGATCTAAGTGCCAAAATGTCAACATTGAAACAATATGTACGATTTGGAACTTTTTGCACTAGTTACCTATATTACTAGGAAGGATTTAATAGAAAATGACGAAAAACCAACATCGCAAGAAAGATCTAAAATGAGTATATAAAGCTCAAGTTTGAAATGATAAAGATTATTTCCGCAATGAGTACAAACAATATGGATGATTTTTGCTAATTACCCATATAATTACTTAAAATTCAAAACAAACTCTAAGAATTTCATCGAGTCATATCTAAAATAACATGATGAAAATTTATTTGGAATCCTCTTGCTTGACTTTTCTGATAGCTCATTAGCCATCGACATTAATTCCACCACACACACATACGCCTTGCGTCAAAGTCAAGTCAACGTCGGCGAGCAAACATGTGGACATGCGGGTAGTAACAACACCATTTGTCATGGAAACCAGTAGATATATGAGGATGTAGTAATTTTAATGAAAGGACTTCACCATTTTTCCCGTAAAGAGAGTCACATTGTTCGACTTTGAGAAGTTAGTCGAGTCTGCTCAACCTTTCAGATAGTATTTCCTAATGTGACCAGTCTGTCAATAGTTTCAACGAATTACTTTATTCTTCGTGGAGTTGCTCTTCATCCACTTTCTAGCAACAAGTGTCGAGTTTCCATGTGAAATATTATTTCTGCCCAACCTTCTTTCTTCAAAAATCGATTTAAATATTTACATTTTCTTTTATGTACATCAAAATAAGTTTGTTGTGCTTATAAGAATATGAAAAAAAGACCAAAATAAGTTTTCTTTTTATTATTATTATTTTTTTCAAAACGCCTTCGTAGCAAATATTCAATGACTTGCACTTGCCACAAGCTAAAATTGATTTTCACATCATATTTTATCTACATCATATATCACACTGGTCAAATTTTTTTCTTTTGCCACAATACTACAAACCAGCTAATGTTCTAATATCTTGTTTGGAATTAAAAATATTCTTTGGTTTGTCTAAAGAATTTTTGTTGTTCATAGAAAAATAGAAAGCAAGAAAACTATAAAAATAAGAAGAAAAATTTATGGACTTTCAAAACTTCCATTATGTGAAATATTTTTACAAACATATAAAATTTCACTCACCCAAACCCTAAGGGCCTACTTGGGAGTTTCGGCGTACCGGTTATGAATGTTTTTTAAGTATCGATTTTGAACGTTTATGATTGGATTGATTTTGAGTGGTTTTAGTAGCGATTTTTAAAACTGCCTAACCTATGATGAAAATTTATTATTCGTCGATTCTGAAAGTAATTGTCACATTTTAATCACAAGAAAATGTTTCCAATATTTGCTCACATTTGCATGTATGTCCTCATCTTTTTTGGTCGCATTGTCATTTTCAACCTTCAATTAATTAATATATTTTCTTTAATCACGATTTTCATCCAAATATTAGACTAACATGCGTTGAAAAGATTGGCAAATATTTTGTTTAAGTTTTGTACTTAGTTATTTAGTTCGGTAATTTGATAATACGAGAGATAAATGTCTTTCTGGCCTCATAACAAACATTTTGGATGAAAATCGTCTCTATAGGCAACATGTGAAAATTAATATAGGGTTGATAATTATTATTACTATTTTTTTGTAAAAAAGTTGAGAACATAAGTGTGAAAACAAGAAATGTTTAGGGATGTTCATTGTAATTAAAATGTGATGAAGTTAACAAAAATTGTAGTATGAATATGTTTACCCTTTATTAAAAAATACAATTTCATAAGTAAAAATTTTCGTTTAGTAAAAATTTTCGTTTAACTTACAAATTAAATAAAGTTGAATATTTACTTAAAATTCACGTTAATTTTTTTTTTTTTACTTATAAGTAAATATTACAATTATAAATTAATTTTATACTTTTAAATAGTTTAAGTGATTTTTTTCTTACTTATAAGTAACCTTTTATAATTTATAAGTTATTGTTTGTCTTGTTAGTAGTATTGTTATTTTATAAACAATAGCGCTGCAACGATAAAAATCTAGAACTTAATAATATCCACCAATTTCTACTATTCTACCAACTCGAAAAAAATAAAAAAAATAAAAAAAAAATCCCAATATGCTGCACTAATAATATTTCCTCAAAAAAATAAAAATAAAAATAAAGTCCATTCACATACCAAAAGAAGAGAAAAAAAAACCACAATTTATAGCCGTACGACGTTTTTATACAAGATTAATGCTAAATGTACAGGGATCACAGAACCCCCCCAGATCAGACACATGAGCTGAACCCCATATAATTAAAATATTGTCAAAAAAGTCTCATCCACCCCACCTCTTATATCTGATCAGAACCCCACCCTGTACGTGTATCGTCTCTTTGTATACAAATTCAGATTTGCTGAATTTTCTGTTGTCCAAGCAATGAAGAAATTCTGAGGATTGCTTCCTGCTACAAATCAACTCCCAGCTCCATTTACTGCAACCCAAATACATGACATGTCTGTGCCATTCCATCATCACAGTATTAATTCACTGAACCAATCCTTTATTTGCAACAGGAGTCCTCTTTTTTGGCACTATAAGGTAATAATCCCAACAATCTCAACCTTCCCGAAAACGAGCCAAAACTCTATCATCTCTTCTACGGCGTCTTCCGATCACAACACTTGAGAAAATTCAATAAACCTTTGACTAACTTAGATAGTCCATATTCTTAAAATAGAGGATTAACACGTTCAATTATATCATTATAATACCTTAGAATCAGCATCAAATTCTAAAAATTTCATCAACTCATGTTTGAATTAGACGAATTAGTCGTGCCTACCACCTTTTGGACAATATTTCCTAAAGTGACAAGTTTGTTCACAATTTTATCCACCTTTTTTTCGTGGAGATGCTCTTCTTTCAATTTCAACAAGAAGTGTCGAAGAAGCTATGTACTTTAGAAAAATCGAAGAAAGCTGAATTGAACAAAGAAGTTGAATAATTTTTGTGCTATGAAGTTGGAGACAATGTAAATATGTATTGCATTGTAGATTTAATTTGCAACTGCACTCTATTACTTCTCGGAGTGGTTGATTTCCTATTCGATGGTTTTTTCAGCATTCAAGATAGTCACACATGTGGGCCCCAACCATGAATAAAAAATGCCAAAAAAAATTTCCTAGCCCCCCTACTATGAATAATTTGGTAACCTTTTGTAAAGTTATAGTTCTTTAACCGCAACATAGTCCAATTTTGATAGAAGTAGGTTCTCGAGACAAAAACATACAAAATTCAATCAAATAGTTACTGGACCCACGTGATAAAATGTAGTAAAAAAATAAATAAATAAATAAATAAAGGATAAAAGAAAAAAAGAGTGTTTTCTTTGTCAAGCTTATATATAATTCATTTATTTCTTTTAACAAGACGCTAGTAACAAGTTGAGCATTGGGCAATTCAATCGGGGTACCTTGACCATCGGACCAACACTGAAAATTTTGAAAAGGAAACAACTAGTTCTTCAGGTTAAAAAGAACCAGACCAGACCAAAAAAATTAAAAAAAATCAATCAATCTTGATCAGGTTCGATCACTATTCTTCCCATAGAACTGGCTCTAGTATGATTTTTTTTTTTCATATTTTAAAAATAAAATTTAAATATAAACTATCGTGCAAATTTTCTTATATCTTTAAACTATAAAACTCAATTATTCTTAATATATATAAATCATAATTCCAGTGAGAGATTATTGCCCCTGATTGGGCCTCCATTTTCTCCTATTTTGTCTCATTTTTTTTTTTCAGTACTCATTTTAAACCACATTCTTCATTAAGATAATATTACACGCATATCAAAATTTTTTCCCTTTTTTTAATCATAAATTTCCCATCAATCTACTATTCCATAATATATTAAAAGAAATTAATGAGACTCAATCAAGGTCATAATAAAATATTATTGGAACTGAATCAGAATTTGGTTCTACAGCTTTAATTTGAAATTAGTAGTGTCACAACACGGTCTAGGTGACACAAGTGTCATTATATGAATAAAATAATTCCACCTTTAATCGAACATATCACATAATTTTACATAGACCAATGCCCTAACACCACTGATACTATATAGCATTGTTCAAGTAAAAATACCCGCCCATCCCCCCTAGTAACAATTTCCAAATCAAACATGGCACAAAAATGAAAATCTTCAGCAATTATAATATAAACCCTTTACTAGTTGAAGTTCATTTTTCACATTAATTTCTCCAGATTTCACCAATTCCCCAGGTTAATTTATAGACACCTTAGCTGTTGATGACTGCAGCTTTTGCCCTGCTCAGCTGCAGTTTTAATTACCATACATATTACTGCTTCCACTTCAATACTAGTACTAAATGCTAATTTTATACTGCTGTTGTTGCTACCTTCCTGAGTTTTTTGAGTATTCACCCTTGGTGATTTATGTAGTTATACTGCTACATTCTCAAAGATTCTTAAATGAAATTCTTGACTCAAAAAGGAAATCTTGGTTCATGAAAGGTTTATGGCTCTTAAATTTAGCCGTGAAGTGGAACCTATTCGAAAAATGCAACTTTTATGCTGTGTTTAGTAATCCCAACCGAACCATAAGCCCTGGCTTGTTTTAACATTTTAGTCACAGTCAAGTCAGTCTGTGGAAGTCCATTCTAATCATAGAACCTGTCCACAGCAAGAATAGTTTGAATTTTGAATACTAAATTGCATTTTACAGAAGAATTTTTGTTAAAGCATAACCCAAAATGAACAATTCCAAAAAATAATTCAGAACATGCAATAGACGTTGCTCCATGAAATCAAGTTTGTGGTACAAGACATGCATGTTTATTATGCAGTATAACGACTGGACCTTGAAAACAGTGCATTCAAACATGTTAAAAGGTAAATGAAAAAATAACAAAGCTTCCATTTCTCAAATAAGTCATTTCAACTCAAAAGCATATAAATGGCAAAACTCTGATGACAATTTTGCTACAAGACTTGAGCCCATTAGTTGGAGACATCGAACGTAGAAAAGAAACTTCTAAGCTTCCACTAGGGCAGCATAACAAAATGCCAACAAAAGATAGAAATGTAAATAAAAGCAAGGCAACTCTAAGAATCAGCAATAGTAACCTCAACCTCGACCCCGGGTTCAATAGTAATTGAAGTAATCTGCTTAACCACATCAGGTGAGCTGAACAGGTCAATCACTCGCTTATGAACTCGGAGTTCAAATCTATCCCATGTGTTTGTACCTTCAAATTAAAATTACATAAAGAAAAATATCAAATCTTGTTACCAATAGTGTCAAGCAGCAGGAGTTCACAATTTAAGGTAATTAAAAGAAAACATTTTAATGAAAAAATACTCCCTCCCATTTCTCCACATTAATAATGCAGTACTGATATAGACAACTTCAATTGCAATAAGTTTTAGCCCTTGTTTGACCTCCATTCTCTAAAAACTCATTTTTCCTCAAACTCATTTTTAATCACATTCTTCTAGTATAATAAATTTACACAAATCTAAAACTTTTCCCTACGTTTTAACCACATTGTCCAAAAAATCACTATTTCAAAACATTTTATTTCAAAAAAAGGGGCTCAAACACACCCTTAAGTTGTAATATAAAGGCAGAACAGCTGAGAATTGCTGTAAACAAAATCTTGAAATAGAAGGTAACCGTTACATACTTATCCAGAGACCATGTTCAGTGGTAACCAGATTATTCTTGTGAACAGTCACCAATATCCTTCATACTAACGAAAATAGAAACCAATCTCAAAATTGAAAACAGATACAAAGTGTAGTCTCTGAAGAGGCAACCACCCATAGCATACAAAAAATGGAAATCATTTCAAACGGAAAAACTTTTCAAATGCCTAACAGCATAAAGATTGAACTTCAACAAACCACACGTTCCAGAATGATCCAAGTTTCAGAGTTCACAAGCAAAAAGAAAAAACAAAAAGAAATGATGTTCCTCTAAAACTAAAAGTCTAACTCTTGAAACACAAAGCACCAACAGAATTTAGCACCTTACTACAGTCTACCTTATCAATAAGAAACAACAGAATACCAATATCAGGTACAAATTAGCGTTTGAACTGAGCTAAATAATATGATGCATAACAAAGTCCTCCACAAAAGGCAGTTGCAAACTCCCCGTTAATAAATGAAAATAAATTTTTTATAATTGTGCTAGATGTAATACCTTCACCACAAGGAGATTTCCTAGTAGTGATGTGAAGAACCTTGGTGGGCATTCTCACTGGTCCCTTGACTCTAAGCCTCTTGTCCTTGGCACCATGTACCAAATCAGCACACACTATCAATAATTAAGGTCAACCAAAAAATCAATTTTATATTAAATAATAATATTGGAATTATCAAAAAAATATTTACTAATCCTTTTAATTTTAAAAACGAAAAAGTATAAACATAATCCGAGAATCAATTTTGGACGATCCCTGTAACTGGTTATAGTCTATGCAGCACTAAAGTAGCCACCCATAAACCTAGGTCAATTATACTTTCAAGCTATTTATTTTACCAGATATAAAATTTCAATGTTATTTCCTTTATATGCTCCTGTTCATGAACTACAATAAACCAATGTGGGAAAAAAATGATAGTAGATAATCACTTAATTCAAAACCAATATAGTAACACGATGAATACAGTCCAAGCCAATAGAGTAAAGTAATACAAAAATCATTATCAGGACTACTAAGATGAACTGAACACGCATTTTATAGCATTCTCCACAATAGTAATTGTTGCAATCAGACAATTAGTAGACTACGATCTAAGAATCCAATCACATTAGAACAGGATAGCATACCTTTCTCTAAATTCTTAACATTTTTGGAGGAGAGAGTGATACGGATCTTGTGAATTTGTTCCTGAGGCTCCTCCAATCCAGGTTTCGTCGGCTTCATCGCTGCGTACGCCATAATTTCCCTTTTCTTTTCTTCTGCAATACAGACAGGGTAAAATACTATTTCATGCTTGTAAAAGACATCAAACCCAAGTTTACATATATGAAACAAATATTCATATAACGAGATCGAGCAGCGGAGGAGATTACCAGAGGTGGGGCACGGCTGCGGTGCTGGGAATGCGTAAGAGCTTTGCGATTCGACGATTTGGAAAAATGAGCAACTGGAGTGTTAGTTGAGCTTATATACGTCCAGGGCAAGGGTTTTTCAATTTGTTTACTGGGCCTCTTTTGGAGTTTTTGTTTGATTGGGCTTGTTGGGCAATATTTAATTCTTACAACTTAGACTTCGAGCATCTATACGATACTATTTATGTTTGAAATAGGGGTATCAATTTGACTCGTTAGCTCGGACTGTTTGTGACTCGAACCGAAAAACTCTATACTGACCTGACTCGAGACTCAAACTGAGCCCCATTTTGGGGTGTCAGGCTGAGCTAGAGCTAGCTTGTGTGGCTTGACGAGTCACATAGGCTAACTCATGTCGCAGATCATTTTCGATCCGTGATGAGCTGTCCCTTAAAAAAGAGGAAAAAAATGAAGCTACAACCAGCTACACAACTGTCGACAAGTTGCAACAGTTGATGCTGCCTTTTGCAAGTAGCTATGTAGTTGTCTACAAGGCAGCTTTTTATTAAAAAAGAGAAAAAAGAGTCGGTTCAGCTTGACTCAACTCAATAAGGCTTGAGCTCAAGTCTAAATTTTTTGGTCGAGCAAAAGATCGACTCAGCTCAAGTCAGATAAAAAAATTCAAACCATTTTTACTCAAATTGCATTCAAGTCTGAAGTTTCGATTCAACTCAATGACATCCCTAAATGTAAAGAATAAAAAATTTGGCACATTTCAACAAATCATTTACTAAAGCATTTAATTTTTCATTTTTTCAATAAGTATTTATTGTTTTTGTCATTGTTTTTTTCCCCCCAATATGAAATTTTAAATAATATCATTTATTGTTTAAATTACTCAAATATTATTTAAACAATGAAAAAAGTTGAGAATTCAAACTTGCAATTATTAAGTACAATTAAAAATAAAAACACTTTTCTTGCAGCTTATGTCAAACATATTGCCAACTTAATGACTGAAATCAAGAAGTTGAAAAGGGAAGTTGAGAACCTTTTTCAAGGGTGGAACTCTTCTGAAAAAACGTTCTCAAGAGACTGGTAGAAGAATGGATACAAGGCGTCTGACTGTAAGAGAGAGAATGCAACATTGCAATTGAGGGATTTTGATAGGAACTAAGTTGATGAAGAAAAAACGATAGTAGTTTTTCTATTTTTAATAGCGATCGAAGCTATGTCGACGAATGTATTAAAGAGGTTGGGGATAAAAATTTGATTCAAACTTTAATATAAAATGCTACCTATAATGTGGCACACTCAATCTCTAAAATTTATGCTTGAAGGAATCTCTAATTTTTCTAGCTTGAACGGAGTGATTAATTAACAATCTTCACTCTTTTCATCTATGCTCATCACAAGACTTTAGCATTGATGAGAAGCTTCACCAAAAAGAGAGTTAGGCTGGGAGTCACTTTGATTTGCAATCTCTCTTTCTTTACAATACAAAGTTTGCTTGATAAAAAACGAGAGTCGAGAAATATGATGATGCTCAAAATTCATCATTCACAAATAGGTAGATAGAGTTTGACACTTAATCTTGATAAGATTACATTTTTTAAGGATTCGTTCAGAGCTGAAATTAAGAACATTGTGTTCGGAACATGTTGAACGGAACTACGTAAATGTCTTATTCATGACCTCTTGGAATAACTTTTGGTACTCTATTATCGAGTAGATCACCTTACTGAGCCGGTAATATAACCGATTCATATATTTTTGAGGTACCATGAGTTAAATATTGTTTGGAAGATCAAAAAAATGATGCTCTGGTAATAGCAACAAAATGATTTCGAAAATATACTTGCAATATGGAATCCATTAATCACTTAGTGAGACGATCGTCATTTTGAGGATTTTTCTGTAAGCAATCAATAATGAGCTCAACAGTTTGATGGGGAAATAGTTTGATTATATTGATTACATATAATTTGGTCAAGGGAAAGTTCGACAATATCTATATGATTACACTTTACCTAAAAGTTTAACTTATCACTTTTATGTGTAACCCTAATTTGGAATTATATGTATACCTATTGAGAGCCACACTTATAAGATTCTAGGGTTCTCAAAAGGGAGACAACATAGGTAGGGCTTATGGAAAAAAGTTAGATTATTTCCAAAATAGGCTATTTTTCTTAGGGATATCAATTAGACATGCTGACTTGAGAGGCCTATGGCTCGATTCAAAAAAAGCCCAAGCCAACTTGGCTCGAGACTTAATGGGACCAAACCTTATTTTTAAGCATTGGCCCGAGCTCAAATCAGCCAGTGTGGCTCGTCGAGCCACATAGGCCAGCCCGTACAATTGGCCAAAATGGTCCATCACATGGGCAATTTACAACTCGTTACAGGCCATTGTGGCTCGTGAACATGGTGTACATTGTGTGCCAAACCAAGCAACTTGTAGCGTGCCTGCATACTTGCTGGCAATTGCACAACTTGTAGCGTGCATGCGTACTTGCTGGCGATTGCGCAACTTGTAGTTGGTTGTTAAAACATTTTTGAACCATCTTGCGCAGCTGCCTATGTAAACACATTTTTGAATTGCTTGTGTAAAACATACAACTGTGCGTCGCCAACTCGAAAGCTCAAGTCGAGCCTTGTTTTTATGTCGATCTTTGGTTCGGTTCGAGCCAAAGAAGCTCGAGACATTTTTTACCTGAGTTGCATCAGGCTGCAACCTTCAATTTGCAAGTCGGCTCAGCTCAATTGTTTTATATCCCTAATCTTTCCAAAATGAGAAAATACAAGAAAATTGAGTTTTCTTTTGCAAAAGGGTTCGCCACCTAGCTCTATCTGAAATTTAAGGAGATCAAGGGACAAGATTCAAGGGAGGAAGGGGATTTCACAAGAAAGGAAGATAACATAAACTTGGTGTTAGATGGTCATGAAAGCATATTTTGAGGGTAACGTGCTGCGTTTTACAACATTTTCGATTTAAGATATTTTTTATGATCTCTTAATAGATTCTAAATATCAGCTTTTTATTGAAGCCTTTACATCAATAAAATTTTCATTTTACTTGGTTTTTGGTATTCAATGCCAACTATTACTAAACACTAGTCCACTTGGAGGAAAATTATAAAATGAGGAGAATGCTCACAATGTAAATAAAATGTAAAAACAAAATCGTTGTTTCCTTTTATAGATAACTGTTTAGTCAAACGAGCTGAACGTACAGACTCTACTCTTAGAAGCCCTTTACAAAGGTCTCACATGGGTGGGGTCGATTTTTTTTTTTCTTTTTTTGCCATTTTCTATTGCACCAGGCTCCGCGTGGGGCTGACCCATGCTAGGAGTCTATAATTCCCATGTGAATATTTCCTCAGTACACAGGGATTTATTCTTGGGAAAATTACGCAAAAACCTACATTTTAAGTATACATTTCACTTATGAAATCTTAAACTTTTCTTTTCACAAATCAAGGATTAATTATTTAATTAAAATTTATTAAACCCACATCTCACCACTTCTCTCTCCTTATCACAAAAATCACATCTCACCATTTCTCCCTCCATCACAGAAATAACCTCAAAAATACCTGGCTCCGACAACAAAAACGAGAGAAAAATTTACTCCAGCGGCCGCGTTTGGAAGGAAAAAAATGTACTCCAACGGTCGATCTGCTTTGGGGGTAAAATCTTGGGGGGTGCGGTGGTGGTGGTACCGATGGTGATGTCGGTTGCAGTGATGTTGGTGGTGTCTAACGAAAGGGTTTGGAGGCGATCGAAGACCAAGAGAAAGGTTTGGAGGAGGGAACTGGAAGAGCCACCACCAGCAGCCCGTCTCCACCACCAACAGCAAAGTTATTATTATTAATTATAGGGATTATTTATAAGTTAGTTTTTATCAAATGAAAAAAATTTGTAGAATATTTCATTCTAGCAAAACGTTAACGAAGCTCATCGGCCAATGAGCGAGGTTTAAGGTCGACGATCAATGTATGGCAATAGGATCCTCATTTACATATTGTTCGATCATGTTGACCAAAAAGGGATAAATATATTTTGGGCACTCCAAATTTATGGTATGTTTAACTTTATTAATCAAGTTAGCATTTTCTGATAAATTTTATTAGTAGTTTATGTTTTATATGTTAATTGTGACCTTTGTGACTAAGTCTGTGTTAATAGTGATTGGATGTGCGAAGTCTGTCCGTATTAATTGTGATTGATTGTGACTAAGTCTATCTTTATTATGACTATTCGTGACTAGATCTGTCTTACTTGTGACTGACCAAATTAACAGTGGCCTGATTACATACATTCGAATTAGACTGAACTGGTCACAGACAGTCACTTTGAAGACAAACTGGTGTGGAATGACAATTTTTTTCATCCCATTATTCTCTTATCCTAAAAAAGGAAAGAAAGAAAATGAACGAGAGCTACTTTAACATCAACCAATTCTATTTATAATTCCAATTTTGTGACCTAAAATGTGTGATTTGTAATTAAATTTGTAATTGTGACCTATAATTTGTGTCTTCGGGATTGATAAATAAATTCTGATCAATTATTTAATTATTTGTGATCAAGTTTGTGTTAACTGTAATCTATTGTGACCAGGTCTGTTTTTACTGTGACTGTACGTGATCAAGTTTGTATTGACAATGACGTGTAATGAGACATATTTTAAAAATGATTGTTTGTGACAAACCTGATTACATAAAGTGTGTGACCATTTATATGTTACTTGTGACCCTGTGTGACAAAAGTTTGCGTTATCTTGGACTGGCTGTGACCAATAATTTGTTGAATGTGACATGTTATTTGATTATGACCTGTTATCACAATTATTATCAAAAAATTTATTTGACCAGAAACTAATCTAAATTAAAGACTTAGGTTACAATCAATCGTGATAATATTTTATGGGTGAATTCATGAAATTGTGGCTAAATGAATTCGATTATTGAAATTTTGAGATTTGGATTCATCAATTGTGGGAAAATACAGGTGAAGCTGATGAAGGTAAGAGAATAGTTGAAAAGATAATTGATTAAAAATGTATGTTTATTTTAAAGATTCTCTAACGAATAAATTTAAATTTTCTCCCAAAATTCTCCCCTTTGCCCTCTCTCTAGAGTTTCCTCTTTCTCTGTTCTCCAGATTTTTTAACGATTATAAATTTTAATTTTTTACCCAGAACTCTCTCTCTCTCTCTCTCTCTCTCTCTCTTTCTCTCTTCCCCCTGCTTATGGCTTTACTCGTCTCTCTTCTCTGTAGGTTTGTACGCCATCGTGAAGGATTTCATTTTGAATCCATGGAGACGACGCTTTTTATGGAGGTTTAGAGGTAATTGTGAAGTATGTTAGATGGAATCAATGATGAAAATTTAAACTGGAGTATGATTGAAGGGCTTAGGTGAAAAAAGACCGACAAAAGACGATGGGGAAGTGTTGAAAGAAGCCAAGAAGATTAGAAGCACGGGTTTGGTTGTGAATGTAAAGGTGGAGTGTGTGTATTATGATTTAATACCTGATTTATGAAACTTTTTAACAAGTTTGATAAATATGAAATTGTATTCTTAATGTATTGTAATTATGTATTTTTCCCTTTATTCTTGTTTAATACTTTTTTCATATTTTCCTTTTTCAGGAGTCGCACATTTTATTTTTTTTTAAATGAAGATAAAATATAATTTGATCATGTATTGATTTAGCATTCAAAGGTTACCTTCAAATTTTCCCTCTCATGCTACTTTATCTTATAGTTATCACGTTTATTGGTTTAATTCATTGTATGTAGAACTTTGCCATAGGTAGGATTCATTACTAACCACGAAAACTAGCTGAGCAACTTATTTGAAACAATACTAGCAAAACTTCTTAACTTACAAGACACCATGGGAGTGTTACATTAAACTTTACTAAGATCAGAAAATGAGTGACGCATCATAACAATTGTCATCATGTTGAGTCGAGTGTACCAACATGCTTATGTAGAATATCAAGACCCCACAACAAAATTAACTCCAAACACCATGGCTGAAAGAACCTAGAAAAATATTAGATCAAGAACAAGCAGCACTCATCTTTAGGTTTAAATCAACTCAACAATACACACGATTTCAAGAAACAAGCAGCACAAAGTTTAAAATCATCCGAACTATACACACGCTTTCACCAATATGATAAGGGTTGTTTGTAGCAAGTCCTAAATTCTAGTGACAATGGGTAACATAATATTCCTTCGAACTTCCAAACAAAAAATTGTCTGCCAACGAACAAAAGGTAAAATAACAGAATTACGTGGGTATATGAACTTCTGCGTGCCAAATGAAAAATCTACGTTATAAAAAGAAAAGTCAGCTTCCTGCTCATCCAAATGCACAGTACAACCCTTCAGATTACCTGCAATTATAAATGTCACAAATAAAGAGTATATTAGTCTCTCCAGCAACTAAATAATCATAAACAGGACCTAGTATCAAACGTGACAAGTTTTTACGAGAACAAACTATATGTCACATGAGAAGACATAAATTACAGAATGAGACAGACAACCCTTAAACATAAGAAATTAGAATTTCGATATATTTTTGTACATCCGGGGTTGACACCCCGATTGACAGCCCCCTCACAAGAGAGAGGGGTCCACAATTATTTTATTATGTGTGGACCCCCTCTTATGAGGGGGGTGTCAACCCCGAATGTACAAATAGCAAAGTTGAAGAAATTATGATTCTCAGTCAACAAAAGAGAATAGACAGTGCTCACCAAAATAATTCAACAAGATGGTCGATATAAAGCTACACATCAGTGAAATGTTTTAATTAGAATCAGACAAGACATACACTGACTTTCTTCTAACCATTTCCCTTAGTCCCTTTTCTAGCATAAGGTTATATTCGTACAAGGAGATAGGTAAAAGAAAGGATAAGAATAATCCTCCTTGGTGAGGTTGAGTCCTCCATTATCTTTTTGGTACATTGAGAAAAACCGCTTACCTTCCCCAGTAATTCTAACTTAAAACTCAATTAGGCTATTTTTCTTGTGCATAGGGTTAACCAAATGGCGTGCATGGCAAATCACAATGGTCCTCACCTACCTACCAATGTGACACAAACATAATTGGTCTGGGGCACAAACACCTTGTCTATCATAGAGATTTTGCTCGTCTTAAAACGCATGTCAGACTCATATATTTCACATGGCAGTTGGGTTTGGAATGATCATCCAGCATAAATGCATAAAATAGATGAATTTTCTATATATTGAACAAAATGGATTGTCAATATTGAGCCTTGACGCTTATCTACTTTCTTCAATTGTGCAATCGACAGAACAAATTTCCTCGTATTTTAAGCCTATTCTTAAGTTTCTCTCTCTCCACACTTAGTAAGCCAACTGACATAACTGCAATTTTGAATGAGGTGAGATGATAGGAGGAGTTAAACCATTCCTATCTCCTCCTTTCTGAAACTTTGGAGTGCATAAGCTTGGGTGATCTTGATTTCGTAGTCCAGTCACTATCCTCATCGTAGATGAACATGGCATTTTCACTTCTATTTTCTTTCGAGAAGGAATGACACCGTGCCTTAAAAAGCAGTGTAAACAAATATATTCTGCGGTAATTTGTCTTCTTTTATTGTGTGGTGAAGCTGGAGAGGATTGAGTGAGCAAGAAGAAAATGAACTGATCACAGAAGAAAGAAGCTAAATGCGTAATTAAAAAGTTCGTCTTCTCTTCATAAGCTCCCACATAATCCGGGTAAGAAAGTGATGTTTCATGAGTTTCTCCAGCACACACCTATTTCTTCTCGAATCAGTTCATTTTAGTGATCTTAACGAACTAAAATGATCAAAATCTACACCTTTCCATTCCACCAGTTTACCTTAGAAATATAAACATACAATGAAAAAACTCTTGTTAGGTGGTGGAAAACCCAAAAACTTAATTTCAAATTCAAAATTGCATCAATATATGATCTTGAAATCCCTAATCTTTTCCCTTCTTTTTCTTGGCAACAAAAATAGCATTAGTGCAAATTATTGGCCGTTCCTTAATATCCAAATGCAACACAAACTAGCATTGATATTAACAATATTATTCTTGCTTCACCTAACAACGTCAGGTGACTTGGGAAATCATCATGCAACTCATACAATATGACACTGAAAGGTAGTGTTAACATCTTTAGTTTCCGATTTGATGCTTATTTTAGGAAGCATAATAAAGGTTTTGATTTCATAGATTTTATAATATTTTCCTACGTCAATTTGTTATCAGAGCTTAAGTCATTTTCCTTTGGCCAAACAAATTTCATGAAGTTTCAATCAGTATTCAAACATCACAACAGCAACTTACAGGTACAAAAATCAGTTATTAAATCAAATTTTTTTCTTCTTTGTAATAAAACACAAAAACAAAAAAATACTACTAATAATAAAAAATGTCATATAATACCATTTACAATGCATATAACTACTACACCTACAACACATCCTTAGGCCACTACCACGATCATGTACATTTCCCTTCCACTTATCAACACAACTATCCTTTATCGAGGATGTACATTCTTCTTCTAGGCAAGTTGCTTTGCAATTATCGGACTTTGATGGTCTCAGTGGACACGTTTTATTTTATGATTGACTTGATACTCTTGAAAAATTCTTTGACTTTCACAGCTTAAGTGGCTTACATTGTCTTTATCATGCTAATACGTCTCTTTTCGATTCTACTAAGTGTTATTGGAAGTCATAATTGTGTGATATTGATCCCTGAGTCAACAGCCCGTCACTTTGTGGTATGGGATGAAATGACTATTAAGTAATAAATACGCCCCTGTATACTATAGAACTCAATTCCTAGATCAATTCTTTTTGCACTGTAAATAAGGTACACTACTATTATTGATATATTGTCCACTTTGAAGAGCTATTGCACAATTATGATATTTATGAAGCTCCCCACATTATAGATTCTATTCTCTTAATGGCCGCTTAATAAAGTACCGGCAATCCAATCCTTAGATAGCACTTACCAGAAATCCAACTTTTGTTACATATCCTTCTATCCAAACCAAGCATGTCATAAGCTAAGTCTACCACCTCAGTCTAACAGTCACCTCCCAAATCTAGTTGTATTACTCTTGAGGAAGATAATGAGATTTTTATTGTTGAGCCCAATGAAAGCTTTGATACTTTCAACATAATTGAACATGACAAAATAGAGGAGTTACCTATAACATTGTCACAGAAACATGTAAAGAAAAAGTATTTGGATCATGTACTTGAAACCAATCTATTTGATTGGCCATCACACTTAAATGAAGGTTTTGTTTCAATATAGTAAAATTGTATCATTGTCGGGGCACATTCGAGCCACCGTTGTTACAATCATTTATTTCTGCATGTCAGTCTAACGTGCTAGTGTATTGTGCTCATCATGTGGATTTTGTGATAGTTTTTGTGGATAAGTTGCACATGTTGTTACTTTTTAAAGTTCCTTGTCGCTACTTGATTAAAAGGAAAAATCATCCACTTGGTTGCATCATATTCTTGATGATGATTAGCAAATTCAGTTTTCGTCACATGATTGATTCCCTTTTTAAATTAGGAAGAAAGATCGCCCTCCTTGGTTAAGAAGTTGCAGTTTATCTTGTCGGCGTCGAGTTCTCTCATTCGGAGAGAAATGATGAACTATTAGAAAAGATAATATTTAATTTAGGTTCCAATCTCAATGCTTATTTTAGAAAAATTAATTAGGATTTGATTTCATAAATTTTATAATATTTTCCTACTTCAATTAGGACTAACTTTAAACTCTATATTATGCAATGTAATTCTGAAAGCTTTTGATAATGAAATAAAGATATTCCCTCCCTCTCTCTTAAATTCTGCTTCCGTTTGTCTAATTCTTCTCCACTTTCTATCTCCCTCCTTGTATCTTCCCCTCCTCTTCTATTTTCCCTTTTCTTTCTCTTCTTCACTCCCCTTTCCCTTTCCCCTTCTCCTATAATCGTTTGATTGCATCCTACGTCAATAATGTTAACTTCTTTAGCAAAGTATTGTCTGTAGTAAGAAATTTTCATATCAAAAATAAGAGATTATAACAAGTAAATGCCAGTATAAAAAAATATTTTATCGCAATACAATATAGATGCTGTATGACTGAAAAATAGTTTAACGGGGTACAATGAGAAGGAAGAGATAGAAGTATCATTTTCCTCAATTTGGAAGTTTTAAGGAGGAAGAAGAAAAGAAGTCCAAGAATAAGAGTGCTCCTTCACATCGGTGGTCCTTCCATGAGTTGAAAGTATAAGTGGGAATTATAAGTAGGGGAATTTATTTATTTATTTATTTTTTAACTTTTCAAGCTATTTGTTCCAGTTCTACCAATTTTATTCTTCTTATCTGCTTAGAGGTAGAGCCGGGTCACGTACCTTCATTTCCCCTTCATAACTTAGATATCGAAAAAATAAAAGAAACCTGCTCTTCTTTATTCTTTTCTACATTTGTAAACAAAAAGAAACTTCTTTTTTACTTTTTAGAAACACCTATAATGTCCTTACGATTCGTTTCGCCTTTTCAACTTAAATCTCAAAAATGCAGAAACAATCACACTTCCCTCTTCGTAGTGCCAATACTGAGGGACAAAAAAGTAGCTGAGGGAAAGAATGGAGAAGAAAGCTTAAGATATGAATGAAATATAGAGCAGGGTGTAACGCACAGGCACCACCACAACCTTTTCATTCACGAGAAAAGTTAGCTGCACTTGTAAGTTAGGCAAGTGCAACATCTAAATCGTGTGTTATAACCTCATTCGCGAGTACATCAGTACAGTAATCATTACTCTTGCATGTAATCATTAGTTGTCGCTTTGCAACAATTAGGAGGATATTACAGTTCTGTACTCCTAAATTATCAAATGCTGGTATTCATATTAATTACTTTTCCGAGTTCTCTGACTTCTGCTCAACTTAAGAACTTCAATTCCACAATCCCTCAAATCTGCTAATACCTAATATAAACGCACAATTCAGCACACAACTACAAGAAATTTTCACAATCATGCGTAACAAATGATTACCTAACACAGTCACATTTCCCAGACCTTTGTATTTGGTACCATTTAACTAAATTATCGTGCAAAAATGAAAAATTGAAAAAATTAAAAAACGGGAGCGAAAAACAAAACGTAAGAAATTTGCGATCCATAAACTCACATGGGCGGGAGAAATTTCTTCTCACTTGGCAACCATGCGAGCAATGAAGTCCTCGTACCGGATCTTGCCGTCGGATCCAACCTCTACCTCCCGAATCCACTCATCAAACTCCGAGGGCTCCAATTTCTCCCCAATACTTGTCAAAATATGCCTGAGATCCGAAACAACAACATACCCAGTCCCATCCTTGTCCAGCACCTTGAACGCATCCCTTAGCTGGCGATCAAACGGCTCAGGCTTCAAATGCTTGGACATCAGGTCCAAAAATCTATTAAAATCGAAAGGAGAATTCAAATTTTCCTCGACGATTATGGATTTGAGCTGCGCCTGAGTCGGGTTTCCTCCGAGTGAACGCATCAGAATTCCCAGCTCCGACGGGGCGATCCTGCCGTCGCCGTCGGTATCGAAAAGTGTGAAGGCTTCTTTCATGGAGGAAACCTGGTCATTGCTCAGATCTTTCCCCATTTTTTCAGGCCTTTTCTATGACTTGTCTCTGTGTTGTTGCTGGCTTTGAATCTGCGACTGTGAACGTTTGTTTGCGTAGATTTTGCTGCAAGTGGAGGGGTTTGAGCGTAATTAACTAAAGTTTAGGGGCATCAATTTCTATTTTATAAAGGGTAATTATGCCCTTGTTTCATCCCCCGTTATTTCTAAGGAAAAAGTCAGGGTAATTATGCATCAATGTTATTTCTTAAGAAAAAGTCCCGAGTACAGAAAATGTTGACATAATTCATATCGACGTTGATATGGCAGTGCATGATTGAGCTTTTTAATCTCTCTCTATGATTCCACATCATGTGTTGTGTCTCAAAATTTTCTATCAAAATTCCGTGCATGATTGTATTTCTAAAAGATAATTATATTATCATCACAAAATTTACTATAATTACACCACAATTAAAATTTATTTTTAATAATTATACCCAACAAATTTACAATTATACTCTAATCAAATAAAAACTAAAAATGAAAAATCAGTACCAAGACTTGCAGGTCCCGATGTAAACACTATACAAGCTCCCCTCCTCCCCGGAGTATCTTTTCTTGGAGGAAACCTGCACCCAACGCCATTCATGGGGATAAAATCTCACATATGACACTAGAATAGGTTACTTTGAGTCCACGGACACTTTGATGTTGAAAATCAACAAGGTACTCAACGATCAAGTCATGTCGATCACCAAATTGATGTGGGGTCATCGAACTGCTCTTCGCAAGCCTTGAGAGGGGTATGGTCACATATAGAGATACGGATGTTATGATCAACATTGTGTTCACGAGACTTGGCATGAGGGTGGTATACAAGGCGATAGTAGGGTTGGCAATGCGCCGAGGCCCTTAATGCCACGAGCTCAGCTTGGCTCGAGCTCGATTCGTTGAAATTGGGCGAGCTCGGCTCGGCTCACGAGCTCGTGGGCTGAGCCGAGCTTCGGCTCGTGGGCTCGCCTAAATTTTTTATTTATTTATATATATAAAAAATAAAGAATAGAGTTTTAAAAATAAAAAGTGTTAAAAAATAAAAATAATTTAACGAAAACAAATTTTTATTTTTTTTATTTATATCATATTGTAATTTATAATATTTTTTATAAAGTATAACCGTATAAAATATTTATATAATAAAAACGAATTTTTTTTGAAATACATTTACAAAAAATATTTTTTTGATTTCTTTTTAAAGTTAATAAAGAATAGGGTTTTGAAAATAAAAAGTGTTAAAAAATACAAATAATTTAACAAGAACAAGTTTTTATTTTTTTTATTTACATCATATTGTAATTTGTAATACTTTTTATAAAGTATAAAATATTTATATAATGAAAAAGAATTATTTTTTGAAATACATTTACAAAAAATATATTTTTTTGATTTCTTTTTAAAGTTAATAAAATATAAACCCTCCTCCTTTATCCGGGCTTGGGACCGGCTACATCAATTTTAAGTAGGCGGAGTTAAAAATTGTACACGAACAACTTGTTGTAACGTGTACAATTTTTAAAAAAAATTAAATTTAACGATTAAAAAATAAATAAATAATTTGATTAATATAATTAAATCAAATATCACTTACCTGACGACATGCAATTTCAGCGTATTTATCTTGTAGTCGAAAATGAGCGTCCTGCCAATCCTTCACACACATTAACGCTTCCAAAACATCTTCTTTCAGTCGGCTCCTGACATCAGTCAAAACCCTTTTACCTGCACTAAAAGCAGACTCTGAAGCAACAGTGCTAACTGGAGGTGTCAATAGATCTTTCGCAATTGCAGAAACAATTGGCTAACGTCTTTCATACTTTCGCCAGAATTCAATTACTTCTTCTGAAATTTTTTTAATTGTTCTGCCTGTTGGCATATTATGATTGAAATAATCAATTAATTCGGCAGGCATCGCATTTTGAGTTTCGGCCGATGTTTGATGAGATGCAGATGTAGACGACATGACACTAGATGTACACATTGCAGTTGCATCAATATATATATATATATTTCACCCATTTTCATTCCAAAAAAGGGGGCCAAATGGGGTTTATTCTTCTTTTCATAAAATTGTCAACAGTGTGGTGTATCCAGAAAAAATTGTTTATGTTAAGAATTTATATAAAACCGTGGATAATTAAGTAATTCTAATTAAGGTGATTTAAGTAAATAAAAAAATTGATTAAAGTTGTTGTGTAACAAGTAAATTTTGTTGTAATAATATCATTACCCTTTCTAAAATATATTTTTGTCTTTCTTATTTTAAATCACACACTATTCAATAAAATAATATTATACATAAATTCAAAACTTTTTTATTTTATTTTTTAGCCACACGTTCTTCATCAATCTATTTCAAAATTCATTTTTCAATAAACACGGGGACTCGAATAGGCTCTATAATACCACCACAAAATAAACTTATTACACAACAATGTTATTGTATACTTAAATGAACTTAAATAAAATTACTTAATTAACCATTTAAGAAACTATTTGGTGCCCATTATTTTAAGGAAAAAGAGTTTTAAATAGTATTTTCAAAGAGTGTATAGCTAAAAAGTGGAAAAAAGTTTTGATTCTGAATGTATAATATTTTATTATGTAAATATATAGTTGAAATCATCCTGTAATATACGGTGCAAATTCTTTAAATGGTTCTCTTTACCCACAATTCATTAAAAACATCTCTCTTTGAAAACCTTTTGAATAACAAAACAATAATTCTTAGGCAATTTAGATTGTCGCGCACAATTAGTAGAGGAGTCTCCATTAAAAGCCCTATTCAAAATTGCAAGTTACATATCCATAGACTATAGTAGGTCTAAGTACACAAAAATCGACACCGCACAGCTTTCTAGTAAGTGCCTGTACTTTTAGTTAATGGTATGTTGGATAATTTTCATGCGAAATCTGTTAGAAAAACACGATTTTCCTAAATTAATATTGACAACATATTAATACAATTATATTAGTTATTTAATATAATGGGCAAAAATCAAGTGGCCTATTTTTTGTATGTCCATAGACTACTCAAATTAATATGGACTAAGTGAGTAGATACCAGCTAATATTACTCTAATTAAGGGATAATGGGAACCTTAATTAAGTAGTATATAAATGTTATTTTGGTTATGGTCCCCAATATACCAAATCATACACTCTTTTCCCTTCTCTCCATCAAGAAGAGAAATCACGGTCCCATTGAGGAATAAGGAGATTTGGTTGAGGAAGATCACAAAACCACCCTCTTCATTTGCATTCATCGGTACGTAGTCGATTGTCGCACATAATGTTTGCTCTAAATTCTTATAGGTGATAGGTGTATCAAGCATTAAAGTTTTATTGATTTGATCAATTACGTATTTAGTTCCCGAAATATTATATCGGGGGTCCATTACGCATGCTAAAGGAAATAACATACGTAGTCGATTGTCGCAGTAATTCCGCAACAGTAGGCAATCGTTTACAATGGATACAAGTATATTATTTGAATCTGTGAATCCTAGTAATTTAGAATGATGTTATTTAAACTTTAATTCCATAGCAATTAAAATTTCACTAAAAGTAGGATCATTTTTATATTTATGGAATATTCTTGCAATTATATAAAGACGTTCAAACACCATACAACTTGTGGGATAATAAACGCCAGATAAAATCTTTGTAGTCTCATAAAAAGATGTCAAAAATCGTTTAACTTTCAAAGCTAAAATTTTAAGATATGAATGAAATATAGAGCAGGGTGTAACGCACAGGCACCACCACAACCTTTTCATTCACGAGAAAAGTTAGCTGCACTTGCAAGTTAGGCAAGTGCAACATCTAAATCGTGTGTTATAACCTCGCTCATGAGTACATCAGTACAGTAATCATTACTCTTGCATGTAATCATTAGTTGTCGCTTTGCAACAATTAGGAGGATATTACAGTTCTGTACTCCTAAATTATCAAATGCTGGTATTCATATTAATTACTTTTCCGAGTTCTCTGACTTCTGCTCAACTTAAGAACTTCAATTCCACAATCCCTCAAATCTGCTAATACCTAATATAAACGCACAATTCAGCACACAACTACAAGAAATTTTCACAATCATGCGTAACAAATGATTACCTAACACAGTCACATTTCCCAGACCTTTGTATTTGGTACCATTTAACTAAATTATCATGCAAAAATGAAAAATTGAAAAAATTAAAAAACGGGAGCGAAAAACAAAACGTAAGAAATTTGCGATCCATAAACTCACATTGGCGGGAGAAATTTCTTCTCACTTGGCAACCATGCGGGCAATGAAGTCCTCGTACCGGATCTTGCCGTCGGATCCAACCTCTACCTCCCGAATCCACTCATCAAACTCCGAGGGCTCCAATTTCTCCCCAATACTTGTCAAAATATGCCTGAGATCCGAAACAACAACATACCCAGTCCCATCCTTGTCCAGCACCTTGAACGCATCCCTTAGCTGGCGATCAAACGGCTCAGGCTTCAAATGCTTGGACATCAGGTCCAAAAATCTATTAAAATCGAAAGGAGAATTCAAATTTTCCTCGACGATTATGGATTTGAGCTGCGCCTGAGTCGGGTTTCCTCCGAGTGAACGCATCAGAATTCCCAGCTCCGACGGGGCGATCCTGCCGTCGCCGTCGGTATCGAAAAGTGTGAAGGCTTCTTTCATGGAGGAAACCTGGTCATTGCTCAGATCTTTCCCCATTTTTTCAGGCCTTTTCTATGACTTGTCTCTGTGTTGTTGCTGGCTTTGAATCTGCGACTGTGAACGTTTGTTTGCGTAGATTTTGCTGCAAGTGGAGGGGTTTGAGCGTAATTAACTAAAGTTTAGGGGCATCAATTTCTATTTTATAAAGGGTAATTATGCCCTTGTTTCATCCCCCGTTATTTCCAAGGAAAAAGTCAGGGTAATTATGCATCAATGTTATTTCTAAGAAAAAGTCACGAGTACCGAAAAATGTTGACATAATTCATATCGATGTTGATATGGCAGTGCATGATTGACCTTTTTAATCTCTCTCTATAATTCCACATCATGTGTTGTGTCTCAAAATTTTCTATCAAAATTCCGTGCGACGAGCCGCTCGTGGGTGAGCCCGGCTCGTGGCTCAGTGAGCCAGTGACCAAAACGGTCACAAAAGTGACCGTTTTGGTCACTTTTCAGTGACTGTTCTGGCCGCCAGAAGGGGGGGGGGGGAAGAAAAAAAAAAGTTCAGTGACCGTTTGGTCACTGAACAAAAGTTCAGTGACCAAACGGTCACTGAACAAGATAGGCTCGACGAGCCGTCCACGAGCCCATTTTTCACGAGCCGAGCCGGCGAGCCTCGAGCCGGCTTGGCCCAATTGACATCCCTAGGCGATAGGCCGATCGCGTTCTACAGTCGAGGCAGGGACGATAGGTGGTGTGCTCGTCGGGCTCGCTATTATGAGCAAACAGGCGACCGTTTGGTCACTGAACAAAAGTTCAGTGACCAAACGGTCACTGAACAAGATAGGCTCGACGAGCCGTCCACGAGCCCATTTTTCACGAGCCGAGCCGGCGAGCCTCGAGCCGGCTTGGCCCAATTGACATCCCTAGGCGATAGGCCGATCGCGTTCTACAGTCGAGGCAGGGACGATAGGTGGTGTGCTCGTCGGGCTCGCTATTATGAGCAAACAGGCATTGAAACAATATGTGCCCATCCGAACACTTAGTTTTCTTTTTCAAATTTATTTTTGTTTTTATCTGGTGGGATTATGATATTTATTCCATTAATTAACCATTTACTTTTTGTGATCACATGATGGAAAAAGGTGTGCTTTGTTGCACCAGTGTGCTTGTAGGTGGAGAAATATACGAGGGATGGTTTTAGCCTTCAGGTCGCGGATTTGGATGAACCGTCAGACGTTTTAATGCCACAAATGCTGGATAAATTATGGAAATGTGCATTTGTGAAGCCTATTAAAGGGGTGCCCTCTTGCTTCCTTTCTTAGTCCCGCTCATTACATTATATTTTAATTAAATTTTCGAAACCTTCACATGATTTTAATAGCAAGTATGTAGAGTTCCATTTATGACCTACGTTGCTAACAAATGTTTTAGCAGTCATCACCCCTAGTTCGGCACAAAAATTTTCAAATGCTTGTTTTCTATTAGGAGAGATCGTAATATAAACTAATGCATTCCTAATCCTTTGAAGTTCATCATTTATATGTTTTAAACCATCTTGCATAATTAAATTCAAGATATGACACACACAACGAATATGAAACAAATACCCATCAAAATCAGGTTGAAGTGCCCTACACAATTTATCGACGACTACCTTATTAATGCTAGCATTATCAAAAGTAAAAGATCGAATTTTACTCTCACAATGATATTCTCTAACAATACTGATAATAACATTATATATATTATTAGCATTGTGAGGAAAATCAATAATTCTAAAAGCAATAATTTTCTTATGCATGCACCAAAGTGGGTCTATATAGTGTGCGGTTGCAGCTATATATGCTCTTTTATTAACCCCTTCCCATATATCAGAAGTTAAGGATATAACGCCCCCATATTGTTGCAAATTCATAATTAATTGTTGTTTTGAATTATTGAAATAATTTATTGTATCGGCACGAAGAGTGTTTCGACTTAGCCCAATGTACTTCGGTTGTAGATATTCTTTTACGAACGAGACGAAGTGTTGGTTGTTTGCAATAGCCAGAGGCAACTCAGTGGCGGCAACAAATTTCACCATTCCAGTTCGAGTCTCGTCCTCCGAATACGCCCACGTGGATAGGGGTGAAGTTGTAGAACCGACGCCTGGACTGCCAAATTGTAATTGTGTTTGACCAGCTGGAAGAAGTCCATGTCTGGCTGCACATGATTTGTAGTGGCGATTGAAATGAGTGGTATCAATTCCTTTTTGTCATACCAATCTTTGTTGGCAGTATTTACATACTGCTTTAGATTCTGCAAGGCCATCAACGACTTTTCCCGTTGAAATCAACTTAAAGTGATCCCAACATTTTGCTTGTTTTTTGGCCTTTTGCTTTCCCCTCGCATCTGGGATATTTAATTGATGATCTTCATCTTCATATTCCGCTTCGAAAATGTTAATATCATCCAAATCAATTGGAACAAGCTCTCAACAAATAAATGTTGATCCATTTCTGTGATTGTTTATGATGAAATCTTGACTAGATGAATATAAATGTAGTGAGATTGTGAAAATTGAAAATTGGATGAATTGAAATTGTAAATAATAAACTGGAAAAATTGAATTGATATTGTATATTTTGCAGCACAAGAGAGTAAAAACTCGATAATTGATATAATAAAAGATAGTTAAGACTTGAGAGAGTTGTAATCTTGGAAGAGATTGATATGAAATTTTTTTTTTTGGGGGAAGGGGGTATTTATAATAAAAAAGGGGGGAAAAAACTGAACAAAAGTTCAATGACCAAACGGTTACTGAAAAGTGACCAAACCGTTTTGGTCACAGGCTCAACGAGCCACGAGTGGGCGAGCGTCTACCGCCCGGCTCGTGCTTGGGCTCGTGATTTCATGAGCTCGAGCCGCCCACGAGCCTCTTTTTCACGAGTCGAGCCGACTCGGTCCAATTGACATCCCTAACGATCCATTAATTTTGTTATATTGAATATTAGAATCTCAGTAAAACTTTAAACCATCTAAATAGGAAAATTTGCCGTAACCTCGACAAGTAATTAGATATAATGTTTCGTATAAATCTAAAATTTCTTGTAATCGACATTTAGGGGCAAAATTAACACCTCATTGTATAAAGTACAAACAAGGAAAAAAAAAAA